AAAATCTCCAGAAGGAATGGACACAACCAAGACCCTGAATTTAGATGTCCAGCTCCAGAACGGTGAAAAAATAGATCTGTCATTTAAAGCCACCCACTTTGTGATATTTTGTTATGGCAGCTCTAGGAGACTAAGATACTCTTCAAGAAAAAGGAAGCAGCAGCTAAAAATTCTTGAGAGTGGTTAAATAATTTGCCTAAGGTCATGGTCAAAGGAAATAACCAGCTGCTGTTCAGTCAATTCTGACTCATGGTGATCCCATGTGTGGTGCAGTGAATTACTTGGTATGGCTTTTCTAGCCGGTGGTCTTTGTGTCTCCCACTAGATGACTGGGTGGAACTATGCAAATGTAAAGTGCTTGTGACACACCTAGGGAATTGCATAGCTTGCTAATGATATAAATATAGTAGTTAGCACTCCTGTGAGGCTGGGACCATGCAAATAAGGTGTATGGAATTCTAATGTGGGGATCAATTAGTTTTGCCATTCTGCTATGCTTAAAATTAGCCCTCCAAAAGGCAGCAGTAGGGATCTCACTGCCATCAAAAGAGAAGAACCAGAGGTGGAGTAGAGTGCATTCTTGGACCTGAAATCCCTGTGCTGGACCTCCTTGCCAGAGATGACTGGCAGAGGTGACCAACTGAGATGACCAGCTGAGGAACCAAGAGGCATGAGACAGAGCAGTGGGCTTCCTAGCCCACAGAGTGAGAAAGCTGAGTGCCTTTAGGCAGGAGGCTTGCTGGTAGAGTGGGGTGCACCTACATGTACCCACTGAAAGAGCTAAAAGAGCCTTCTAACACTTTCCCGAGTAGGGCAGAGGCCAGGCTGAGAGGCCAAGCGCCAGAGAAGTGTGCCTGAGGGCACGGCAGAGGGGAGACTGTCCTGATCAAAGAATTGTGTCTTGAGAGCAATCCTGAATTTGAATTGTAATCTGTTACTTCCCCCAATAAACCCCATAATCATGAGGATTGTCTATGAGTTCTATGTGGCCATTGCAAAGAATTATTGAACCCTCTAGACAAATGGTAAAAAGGCTGGGGGTGGGGGTGGAGGGTTGTATGTCTGGCCTCATAAAAATAAGCCTTGGGCTGTTGGTGGTGATTCTCTTTCCCTTGTGAAGTTAGAGGAGGTCAGAGGAACATGCCACCTCCACATCCTTTTTGCACTATCTGGGTCAGAGTAGAACCATAGGGTTTTCCATGGGTGATTTTTCAGAAGTAGATAGCCAGATCTTTTTACCTAGGTGCCTCTGGGTGGACTCAAACCTCCCATTTTTTGTTTAGCAGCTGGGGGCATTAACAGTTTACACCAACTAGGAACTACAAAGGAAGTAGGGGAATTCACATATTAACTCAGATCCTGGTGCCATCGCTGAAAAAAACCAACCAACCCATTGCTATTGAATAGATTCCAACACATAGCAAACAAACTTATTGGACAGAGTAGAACTGCCCTATGGGGTTTCCAAGGCCGTAACCTTTAGAAAGCAAACCGCCACATTTTTCTCTCATGCAGTGGCTGGTGGATTTGAACTGCCAACCTTTCAGTTAGCAGCCAAGCACTTAATCATTGTGCCACCAGGGCTCCACTACTCCTGGAATATTTACATGGTGAGACTGAAAGAGCTGAGGCTGCAATTCTACCGGTAACATTTCTTTCTTTCATGTTTTAAAATAACATGAAGATGATTTTCACCAAATCATGATTAAGATTCTCAAGTGAAGTGAACTGTGTGCAGTATATTTTTTTCCATTACCAACTCAAATTTCCAAAACTTTATCAAAAGTAATTAGAAACAATCACATATAACAAATCCTTATTTAAGGTTCATTGGTAGAATTCTTGCCTTCCTTGTGGGAGACCTGGGTTCGATTCCAGACCAATGCACCTCATGCACAGCCACAACCCATCTGTTGGTGTAGCATGTGTGTTGCTATGATGCAGGTTTCAGCAGAGCTTCCAGACAAAGACTGACTGGGAAGAAAGGCCTGACAGTCTACTTCTAAAAATCAGCCAATGAAAACCCTATATATCTCAAGGATCTGAACCCATTGTGTGTGTGTGTGTGTGTTGGGGGGGAGGTCACAAAAAGCCAGGGGTGATTCAGGAGCAGCTTACAACAGCACAACACACATACAGTCTTCAGTCATTGCAATTGACATTTAACACCGAAATAATTCAGTGTATGTTTAATGGGTCATGGGACTGGAAATGATAAAATCTGTTATGCCTAATATTTGGCTTATATTTGTTTTCTTATGGTGTATTTGTATCTAGCTTTTTCATCACTTAGCATCCTTATCCAAAATTTAGTTTTATTTTAAAAAAGCAAACAAATGCAAATATATAATCCTGTCATTTTAGATTGGAAGAAATTTAACAGTCTTGTGATGTGTTATTCTCATATCAGAGGGAGAAATTGAGGCTCTGAGAGCAGGCCAGATTTCTGATTCTATCATCTGGTTGCTGCTCTCCTTGTACAAGTTACCAGGTTGTCAGGAAGATCAAGTAAGTCAATGATTCTAAAACTTTTCTTAACTATCCACACAGTTAATAAGTGGTAGATATTAGTCTGGGAGCTTCAGTCTTCTGGGTGCAGGAAGAATCATTTAGGGTTTTTATTTGAAGTATAGATTATCAAGGAAAGTGCCTTAAAAAGAAAAATCTACATTTAAACAGCAGTCTTGTGTTTGAGCAAACTACCTTGTGATAAGGAACGCTGGTAGCACAAATGGCTTAAGAGCTAGGCTAGTAACTGAAATGTTGGTGGTTCAAATCCACCCAGTGGCTCCACAGGAAAAAGACCTGGTAATCTGCTTCTGTAAAGATTAAAGCCAAGAAAACTCTATTGGGCAGTTCTACTGTCACATGGGGTTGCTATGAGTCAAAATCAACTTGACAGCACCTAACAACAACTTTATGATAAAACCAGGTTTACTTTGATCTGATGTGGAAGCTTCCAATCATTATAGTAACAAAACTGTGCACAGAGTGAGTTTCTCTTACTCAGTTAACCTACTTCTTTTTTTATGTTTTCATTTGCTTGAACTCATCTCCAGATTGATATTGAAGTACAAGTTGCTGAAACCCCACAGGTGCTGACCTATAGGGCCCAGTTGTTTTCCATCTTCTTAGAGGGCAGATCAGAATGTGTTTAGAAGGCATATGAAAGGTTAAGTTAGTGATGAAAGATTGCTTGATAAAATTGAACTTTTCACATCCTGCTCCCCCTTCCCTCAGTAAGTGGCAGCACTGAGCAGGTACCCAAGGCAGAAACTTGGCATTATCAACAATACTTCCTCTTTCTCACATCTAGTGAACCACCAAGTCTATTTTCCTCACTTCTTGAGAGGTGGAATGCTTCCTGTCCCTCCATGCCCTCGATACTACTTACTTAGCAGTGGTGGTAACAGCAGCAGTAGCTATTTGAGTCTAAATTAATGCTAGGAACTATAAGGGCTTTATATCTATCATCATTTGATGATCCTCAAAACAACTCTGTTATTATCTGCATTTCACAGATGAGAAATGGAAGCATGGAGAACCAAATTTAGAAACTTGCTTGAGCCTGCACAGCTAGTAGCCAGAATCCCAACCCAGGCCTTCTGACCTCTCCAGCCAATAGTGCAGGCATTTCTCCCCTTGCCTGTGTCTGCTCCAACAAGCTTTCTTCTAACTGGTTTCCAGGACTTTTGTGCCTTGCCAATCCGTTTTCCACGTTTTTGTTCTATGAACAAATCAAATTATGCTACTGCTGACTTCTTCATGGCTCTAGTGCACTCAGCAAGTCCAACTCCCTACCGTGGACTGGCCTCTGTGTACTGTTCAGTCCTCATCTTAAGTCTATCACATTTCTGTTCCTGGAATTCACCTATGCTTTTACTGCTTGTTTCCTCTCCTCCCTTCTGCCCCTAAATTCCTGGAAAGGATTGGAGTTCGGTAACATTTGTTAAGTGAATTGTTAAAAAGCAGCAGTGGTTTATTACTGGACAGTGTTACAGACAGGAACTGTGAAATCTCTCTCTAGGCTTCTTTCAAAACAGGATGAATTCTCATCCAGGGTTCTCTTAACGTTCTGATCAGGGTACTTCATCACCTTGTAGTGTCACTATTAGTTTTTGTCTGTATCCTTAGGAAACGTGTTTTTCATGCTGTAATTTTCTCCCAGCTCACTGCATGTGCCAGGGTAGAAAGGATGGATCAAAGAGCTAAGCAGAACAGTTCTGTAGGTGCCGGCCTAAACGCCTAACTTCATGACCTCTCAAGGTCTTTCTTCCAGGCTTCGTGCAGCTCAGGTCCCAACATGCTGGCGAGGTCCCCTGGTTCATAGGGGAACGCAGGGACCCTGAATTCTGGATGGACACTGTGGGGCAGCTGCGGCCTCTCCCTCAGCCGCCCCCTGACTGGAGCTCCGTATCAGGGAAGGGATGAAGGAGAAGGAGAAACGTAGATTTTCGGAACCATGAAAAATATACTCTGAGTAAAGCCCACTCGGGTAACGCGACCAAGAGCCAAATGCTTTTTTACCCCCTGCCAGGCCCACAGGTGCCTCCTCCCTGCCCCGCCTGGGCCTCCCTCCCATCTTCCCTTCCTTTCTCCTGTCTGAACAAACAACTCGTAGTTCCCGCAGCTGCAGCGCGAGACGAGAAACGCGCGCAGGGAGCGAGCCCCGGAGGGGGCGGGCGGCGCGGGCCGGGAGGGGGGCCCGGACGGCACTCGGGAGCACTCGCCGCTCCTCCCGCGCTCCGGCGCCGGGCCCGGGCAGCGGAGGCGCGCGACGGACCTCTCCGCGCCGCCTCCCTCCTCCCGCTCTCTGGCCCGGCTTGGGACAAGGTCAGAGGAGCAAGGCGCGGTCCCATTTGGCAGCACCCCCTCCCCCAGTAGGCGCAGGCGGAGCCCGACCCACCACTGCCAACCGGGGCGGGAGCAGCGCGGAGCAACGCCGCGGGCAGCGAGCTCCGCATTCGAACCTCCCTCGCAAAGACTGTCGCCGCCCCACAATGCACCGCGGCGGACAGCCTTTGAAAAAGCGGCGCGGCTCGTTCAAGATGGCGGAGCTCGACCAGTTGCCTGACGAGAGTGAGTAGCACCTCAAAGCAATCCCTCTTCTTCCCGCCAGCCGCCCGCCCCAGAGCTGCCCCAGCTAGGACGGGCGGCCGTGCCCTCAGCCGGGCGGGTGGACTAACTGCCAGTCCCACTGTGGTCCTCCTAGTCCTTTCACTCCGGTGTTGTCGCCGCGTCGCCGCCTTTGTTATGGTGCCTGTGTGTTGGTTTCTGGGGTTGTGTGAGCGCCAGGACCGGAAACCGAAAGCTCGGGAACCCAGCCTGTGCCGGGCACAGGCGGTGGCTGCTCTCCTGGCTGGACTCGGGGGCACCCGGCTGAGGTGGAGGAAGAGCGGCCCCGGTGCGCGGGGGCTGTCCTCACCGCCTGCACCACTCGCCGGCGCTGAGAAGCCTGCTGGGGTTATGTAACTCGGCTGTCCCGGGGCTGGGGTGGGCTTGGGCTGGGGAGGGGGTAGTCACAGCCCCGACTTCTTGCCTCAGCTTCTTATCTTGTCTTGACTCAGTTCCTGGCTCTACAGACACTTGGGATCTTCACTGTTCCCCCTCCCCACCAGTGCGTCCACCTTCAGAAGTGTTTCCGTGTCAAGGGGCTGGCCCCTTCCCCTGGGACCACAGGTGGCTGTGGACCCTTACAGAGATAATCCAGACTGGATACACCAAGTGTTCAGGTAGCCCCTGTCCACAGACTTTCTTCTGTGTGTCTTTGTGAATCATGGGGGTACCTTGTACACATGGATGTGACCAATACAACGTGCATACTCTTCTGACACCTCTGTACATTAATTACTAACCATGGTTACCACTCTGCCGACGATGAGATCTCTGCGACACATATGCTCACTTGTGTTTAGTATGTAAAAGCACCAATTCTGTAGTTTAAAGCACAATGGAACTTAATTTTGTAATTTTAAAATTGCATAGATATGTAGAAAGGCAAATATTTTTATTAATTACAAAAAAGATCCTGAGTACACACTCACTATTCAGTTTATGTATACATATCATTTGTGAGAGTTCTGGTATAGCGAAAAAGGCTCAATCACTGTAAAATCATTTGTGCAAAAAGGCAAATAGACTTAAAATGAAAGCTAATTCTGTTTTCTTTGTGGAGGTCACATATTCTTAATGTGTTACAAAGTAAATAAAAAGCTCTAGTTGTAGTTTAGTAAAGCTAGTGAAAAGTTGTATCAAAAGAGTTTGGGTTTTTAATTTGCTCTAGACCGGCAGGCACTAAGTTCCAATAGAACTTTCTCAATGATGGAAATGTTCTGTGAAGTTCAGTATAGTAGCCACTAGCCACCATGTGGTTATAGAGTACTTAAAATGTGTCTAGAGTGACAGAGGAGCTGAATTTTAAATTCTGTTTAATTTTAATTAAGTTTAAATAGTCACATGTGGCTAGTGGATTGTATCTCTTGACTGTCCGTGAGTTTTATTGTTTCTTGTTTGGAGAATACAGATCATTGTGACTTACTGTGCTCCCAAAGTAAGAGTGGGCCTTCTAAGTATGATACACTTTTTGTCTGAAAGTTTTTTTTTCATCCTCATGATCTTTGTTGTTGTTAATTGTAGTCATTCTCTTGAATAAGAGGTGATTTAAGTGGTTTTCAGTATAACTCTTGGAGTATTTGCTTCATCATCAGACATTTTTTGAGGATTTACCATGGTTCTTTCTAGGAACTTGGGAGTTTACTAGGGTTTAAATCACAGCTCCACTCTCAAACTATATGACTTAATCATTTTTATTATTTTGTGACATTTCTGCTACATTGTGTGGATTGTCTATCTTGTTGAAAGCAGGGATTGCCTTACCTGATTTGTTACACAGTTTCACAATCAAGTATACATAAATATTTCATTTATATGGAGAGGCATTATACATGAAACAGGCAGGGTCTTGAAAAAGGGAAAGGAATTTCAATTTGAAACTGGAAATAACATGTTTCTTTGACAAATTTAGGCAAGAGGATTGGAAACAACGTGTTTCTGTGCAAAATTTAGGCAAGGGGACTAGCTAATGTATTAGTAATAACCAGCATGCTATAAACCAAACCCATTGCCATCAAGTCAGTTCTGATTGATGTAAGATTTCCAAGGCTGTAAATCTTTATGGAAGTAGATTGCTTCTTCTTCCTCCTGCAGAGCAGCTGGTGGGTTTGAACTGCAGACCTCCTGGGTAGTGGCCAAATGCCCTAAGTGCTGAACCACCAAAAAATCAAAAAAACCAAACTCACTGCCATCAGTGGGATCCGATTCATAGCTACCCCTCCTTGGGTTTCTGAGGCAGTGTCACTACAGAAGTTGAGGAAGTAGATTGCCCAACCTTCCTTCGGATAATTGGTTGGTGTTGGTGAGTGTGAACCACCACCCTTCTTTCTGATTAGCAGTCACATGCCTTAGGCACTACACCACCAGGTCCCCATTGAACCACCAGTGCTCCTTAATAGCCAGCATAACATTATCAGTAATAAACACTACCATTGTTGAGTACTTGCTATGTAGCAGACTCTGTGCAGTGTTTTACATATATTTGCTTATTTAATCCTCATTTCAGTTGAGGTAAGTACTCTTTTAAGAGTTTTGATTTTTTTTTTTTTTTTTTTTTTGAGGAAATTGGAGCTATTTTCAACCCAACTCTTTACTCTGAGCTTTCTTAACATCTCTCATTTCATATCCTCTCTTAGGTGCCGCAAAGGCCTGTTAAACTTCTCAGGTTCAAAAATATAACTCATAACCCCACTCCAGGACACAGACTTTTAGTGGTTTCCGTCTTAATGAATGTTGTTGTTGTTGTTGTTATGTGCCGTCGAGTCGACCCTGACTCATAGCGACCCCTCCTTGGGTTTCCGAGGCAGTATCACTACGGAAGTAGGATTGCCCAAGTCTTAATGAATAGTTTCACTTATTCAGCTGGCAGTGCAGAAACCTATAGGTCCATCTTTGTCTCTTCTCCCTTCCACTTCCCATATTTAAGTCTTTATTGTAACTTCTACTTTTTAAATATCCTCAAATCTACCTACTTTCCACGGAAACATCAATCTAGCCCAGATTGTCAGCATCCTCTGCCCAGAGCCCTGGTAACACAGTGGTTAAAGCACTTGACTACCAACTGAAAGGTTGGTGGTTCAAACTCGTCAGCGACTCTGCAGGAGAAAGATGGTACCATCAGGGTCCAGAAAGATTTATAGCCTTAGAAAGCCTGTGGGGCAGTTGTACTGTGTCCTGTAAGGTCACTGTGACTCAGAGTAGATTCATGGCAGATTAATTGTTTGGTCCTCCTACTCTTCTTATGGCTAATCTTTCTCAGATGTTATCTCCTTGGGGAAGGCTTCTTTAACCATCCTATGTAAATTACCCCCTGTGTTAGACTGGGTTCTCGAGAGAAACAAAACCAGTAAAGCTTATAGAGAGAGAGAAAGAGAAATTTATCTTAGGAAAATGGCTCACACGCTTATAGAAGCTGGCAAGTCTCAAGTTCTTGGATCAGACGTCAAGCTGGAAGCTTTTCCTGACTCACACAGCTGCAGGGGCTGAGGAGCTCAAGGTTGGCAGGCAATATACTGGCTGTTGACTCCAACGAATGACAAATCCAAGATCTCCAGGCTGAATGGTGGATTGTTCACTCACGGACAGTTGTAGGCAGAATCCCAATCCATGGAAGAGTGTCTCTTTTCCAAGGATGTCCATAAATATACTGGAAGCAGGCAATACCCCTAAGGAACCTTCCTTTCAAAGAATTGGCTGCTCAGAACATAATCTAATCCCATCATGGGAACAACCCACATCACAATTGTTTAAACCACACAGAATTGTGGTCCAGCCAAGTTGACACACAGCTCCAACTATCACACTGCCTTTCCCACTAACACACACACACTGATAGCACCCTGTTTATTTTCTGTATAGCAATTATTGTGAGCTTTGGCTATTATTTATCTTGTTATTGTGTGTCTTTTCCCGCTAGAATGTAATCTCCCTTAGAGAATGGGCTTTCTCTCTTATTCCAAGGGATATCCCTAGACTAATTTTTTTTTTTTCTTATTGTGATTTGGGTGAAAATTTACAAAGCAAATTCACTTTCCATACAGCAGTTCACATACAACTTTGTCTTATGACACTGAACACAATTCACCACAATGCAACAACTCCCCTCCCATTCCTCCCGACAGTCACCTCTTCCCTGTGTCCATCCCTTCATGCACCCCTGCCCCCTGAGCTGTCTCCCTGTGCATAAACAACCTTTCCTTCTCCCATGATTGTTCTTTCTGAGGAGTGTATTTACCTCAGGTAAATGTTCAACTCCTATGCCTATCTTTTGCTTGGCTGGAAGCCACAGGTATGGGTTCAATTCCAGACCTGAAGGGCAGCTAGGGGCCATAGTCTCAGTGGTTCCACCAGGCTCTATCAGACCAGCAAACCTGGTCCCCAACCCCCCTTTGTTTTTCCCAAATGCTTTTGAGTTTTGTTCCACATTGTTCTTCCTCTCTATCCAAGGTCTCCTACATAGATCCCCCTCCAAGTGGTTGACATTGGTAGCCGGGCACCATCTAGTTCTTCTGGTCTCATAGTTGTATAGGCTGTGGATCGCATGGTGTGCCAGTTGCTAGGACTAATTGTTTCCATGAATCTGGTTTTCTTCATTCTTCTTTGCTCTGGACCAGGAAAGATCCATTGTTGCATCCAGATGGCTGCTTGCAAGCTTTTAAGATCCCAGTTGCTACTTGCCAAAGTAGGATGTGGAACAATGTTTTGTGTAGTATGTTATGCCAATTGAACTTGATGTCCTCTGGGACTATGGTCCCGAGCCCACAGGTTCAACTACTCAGTCCCTCTGGGTAGCTGGCTATGACCAAGAAGTGACTACAACTTTGTCTCTTGTCAGCTCTACTATACACTTGGGAATTCAGATCATACAAATACAGTTATAGGACTAATAGGGTCTGCCAACCCTATACATGGTCTTGGGTACACTCCCCACTTCATAACCTAATAGTTCAGCCTATCTACCCATCTAT